GAACATTTTGATACTTTTGAACATTACTGATATTAAGTGACAGTTGAATTTAGAAAAAATTTTATAATTGTACTACACAATTAACAATATTCAATACAGTTTGTTTATTTTTACCTGAAATGGGAGGATCCTTCTATGGAAGATTTATGGCCTTCTCAATACATATTTAACATTACTTCTAGCATTTATTTTCTGCAACGCAAATATATATCACTCATTTACTCAACACAACGACATAAAAAATTATTAAATATAAGTAAATTCTTATATAAGTAATTTAATTATATTTGATTTATTCTTGGAGCCAAGAAGCTATTTTTATTTAAATAAAAAATTACCATTTTTGAATTGCCCGCAAGAAAAGAAAGAAAACATAAATAAAGAAAAAAGGAAGTATATATTTAAAAAGAATATACTCATATTCCTCTACAATCAATTATTGCGTCAAAATTGTATTTAACAAATAAAAGTGATCTTTTAATAATTTTTCTCGAAGGAGAAGAACAGCGATATATAACTAGCAAGTAAATAAAAAATTTCATTGAGAAATTCAATATGGTTTTTTCTGAGATGTCTTATTTCTCTGACTCTTACGTAATAAAACGTGAGTCAATGGGCCAATATGCTCGCCATTGGTCAACGTGTGATTTAGTAGTCGTCAATGAATCGTATTCGCGATATGAACTGGTCGTTTATCAACGCGTTCGAGCCAAGATCAAAAGAGCAATAAATAAAGAAGTGTTGTGCATGAGTCGTCGGATGATACAGAAACGGAATCGGCGAAGAAGGCCCAGGAGGAAAGCTAATTAATGCCGATCGAAACCTATGGTGCTTGATAAATGGACAGCCAATATTTGGACTAAGGGGTGTCTTCTCCCTTTCCCTCGCCAACTGCGCCTTTTTTCTCGCTTTTTATCGCCGAGTTCTTTACATTGATCATCATAGAAGACGCGTGATGGTGCACGAGAGGTTGAAAGGGGATGGATGACGACGAGCATACGCACAACTTACGCGCGTTTGGGTAAATATCTCCGCGGGTATTTACACGAGCGAGCTCGACTCCGAGATAGCCCGTGATTAATGGCCCTTCTTCAAGCTTTATTAACGACCTGTCCACCCAACCCCACCTTGACCACTTTTGGAAAACCTCGTGTAGCCGGCAAGTTCGCGTCATGATACGATTTTATTCAGACGCTTCCTGAAAATACAGGGAGGAGAAAGGCTTGCTCGAACTCTCGCGAGCTCTTGTCGTGTGGGCATTTTGATCTTTCGAAATTCAAGGTTGCCGTTAAAAATTTATAGAATTAATTATTTGATTTATGGGATGTTTGCTCGTAATACACATTATTTTTTTCTCGATTATTCAATTCATACGTTGCGTGTGCACGTGTTAATTAATTATTATTCGATTCAATCGATTCTGCGAACGCGCATGGTTCTTCCGAGAACGGTCCTTTTGTCCTACAGTCGACGTTGAGTCACATAGCGAAAGGACCATAAGGTACCGTATAAATACATAGTAATCCTATCCGATAATAGTCGCACGGTCAATTAAGATGACCGTCATAAGAACCAATTAAACGTAAGTGCGTGACCATCCTGGCTCGGGTTACGTATTTACGATCTAAAATTATGCGTTTTCGTCGCTCGCGCTCTCCCATTACTTTGCCCTACGATTTCTTTCTCAAGTGGCCCCCTCCACCCTCGCCTCTTACGATTATGAAATTTCATCTGTGTCTGTATGCGCACCTGATTTTATGCTACGCATATCTACTATATTCCCGACGCTTCGTCAGGGAAAACGTTTCCAAAGCTTCGTATAATTCGTCGTCAAAAGTCGGCCATAATTGGCGCAATTATGTGTATAATGCAATTATCAGTTCATTTCCTCGGTATACAGCTATACGATAGACTGAAGCGATACTCTTTGGAAATGCGTAAATAATATATTTGCGTATAAACGTGACGACCGGATGTGTGATCTACGTGATTAATCGCCGCGTTAATTAAAATGTTCGCTTAATAAGTTCGCTTAAACGGCGGGAAAAACAGCGCGGCGATTCATTTAGCAATTATTTTATGTAGTTTATACGCACATACACACCGCGAGTAAAGTACTTCGCACGATGCACACCCGCGCGTACGATAATGCAGTAGATTCCAAAATTACACCGCGACAATAATGATTTCGGGTAGATTAATCTCTCCGATGGGACATCATGCACGATACGCTTTTAAGACATTCAACAGTGACATCTCTCTTTTTTTTTTTAAGATGATGGCTGGAGTCGTCTTTTTACTGACAAAAATATCATCTCTACTTCGTATTAATTTCATAGAATTAAAATTCCTTTTCCATGATAATATACACGTCCTATTAATATCTTCGGCTCTGTATATTTTGTGTTCAAAAAACAGAAAAAAATTAAAAAATTACAGATTTCTATATCCATATTTACCTTAATATGACGATCAATGCTGTCAATTTATCAAAATATTTACTTCATAAAAAAGTTATGTAGATTATATGCTCGAAATAAAGCAGAGTCAGATGTAAAATAAAGAAATAAATATGTAAATTATTAGAACAAGTTTAGAAACCTAAACAAAGATATTTTGGTATTCTACGAATTTTTTTTTGTATGTATTTATGTGTGCGATATTGATGTAATGGTATACAATGATACGTCGATGTCTTATAAATTATATGTTTGTATTGTAACGTGTGTAAGTCGCATTTGATCGGTAAAACAGCCCCTAATCCCCTTAAGATTACACGAACAAAAAATCTCGCGTGTGGACACATACATGCGTCTTAAAGAGTGGTCCTTTTTTCTGAAACCCTTTGTCCCGGTTTCTCATTTTCATAACTGGTTATACCAAACGAGTCGCCACAAGGACAAAAAATGGAGTGCGGCGTTTATCAAATATACCGTCTTCGAAGGATGATCATTGGAACCTGGTTCGTTTTTCACACACTCGCTATGTTATTTGTCCTTAATTAAAGATTTTTCGATATATAAGAAAGTCGCTTCCAGCTGTGAAGATAATGTTATATAATATTATACGATCACGTTATTGTATACTTTGTGCTCATACATTCGCGAGATTTTATGATTATCTTGATTTTCATATCGATTTTGTGATAATTTATAATGCGATAATTAATTATTTTATACATAATTTCTTGATGTTCTCAATATACCGATAACGTACTTGGTCGATAAACATCATAATAGAACATTTTGCGCTGTGGATAAAACATGCATATTTCTCTTTTCATATAGTTGTTGTTTAATCATTTTATGAAAATTTTATGCATTATTCTTTTCTCTATTTCTACTTTTAACGGGAGAAAAATAGAAATACATTATCCATTTGTTTTTAAATACTTTTATCGAAGTATCTCAGATTCGAATGTATGTATATATACGCGCGTGATGGTTTTCTTGGATAACATCAACTTTAAAAGGAGCAAATAAATTCTCGTCCGGTGTCGATACTTTCAGAAAAATGAACGGCAAGGGGATTGTTTTACGCCGGGAAAAAAGTAGTCTCCGACAAACTTGCGGCTTGAATACGATCGAAAGGACAATACTTTCCCGACAGAGACATAGGCAGCGAACACTACGTATGCTGATATATGGACCCGTCTCGCGTTGATAGATACCAGAAACTTTACAACTTTAATTTTTCCCTCGACGTCAATTTTGGGTTTTAATCTTGACCTACACCTCGGACAGGGCGCGTCAGACAAGAAAAGAATTATTACCGTTAGAATTAAATAACGTCCTTCTCCACGTGAATTGTATTTGAATTTCGGGACTTTGAATATTTCATCTGAAAAGGGTTTATATTTTTCAGTACTAAAACAAGTTTTTTTCAAAACAATAAGTAGATAGGTAATTTCACAAATTTTCGTCATTACGAAAAATAGAAGAATCTTCAGATACATGTAATACAAGTTCCGCGTAAAGCAGAATGAGAATCATGAAAAATAAAATAATGTTTAATATGACGATGAATTGCTTAAACGCATCAGATAACAATGGCATGCATTATTATATAATATTTCTCCCGATTTTTTAATATTCTCGAATCGATAACGAATATTAGTCCACCAATAAGTCTGATATTAATTATTTAATCTTATCAGGCAGAAATATCAGCTCATGAAAAATTGCATTAATAAGATCATTGTAATATGTGAGATAAAATTGTAGTTTTTATTAAAAGATGATACATTATTATATCGTCCTGTGGCACTAATGATATGGTTGATAAATGTGCTCCATGTTAATCTTAATAGATTAACACGACCCAAAGGAATGCCTTTCTGGTCAAGAAAGATGTATTCCTGTTTGGGACGTCCTGTATCAGGATTTTTTCGGTCTACCTATTCGGGACTCTTATTCATGTCAGGCGGTATTCATACTCAGGTGGCCAGCTTGCATCTAGCGAACCTATTGTTCACGCGTTAATGAAACACAGCCCGGCTTTGCAACTTTTATCGTAGATATTTCAATTGCGAGTGCGAACAATTGATACTCCCGGCGTATATCCGCAATGGAAATATTCGGCACCTTATCGAACTTGTAGATATCGCGATTTAGCACCAAGAATCAATTGCGCTTCAGACCAGAATATTTCATACCAATTGCAAAAGTCGCGTAACATTTTAAAAATTTATTAATACTTTTTGGATCCACTATTTTTTCTGCTTTTGCATAAACTATTTCAACGTACGTTTTTCAAAACTTACAAAACAATCTATTCACTTCAGATCATTTTTCGTCAATTTGAAGAAAGATGTTTGATTGAAATATTATTAAAATATTTTTAGATGATAGCGTCATAATTATCATACTGAAGATCTATTATCTAATCTATTATCTAATCTAGCCACATAGGTTTGAATTCAGATTAATAAAAGAAATTAAAAAGTTATATATTTTTTTATTTTGCAAAAATATAATGATATTTGTATATCAGTACTCTGTTGTAAATAAGTATAAATTGTAACAAATGTCATTACATTTCTAATATCACGAAGATGATTGTACATTTTTCAGTCAAGCATTATAGATCTGGAATGCGGAATTAACACACTTTACATAATAATAGCTATGTTCTGAAGATCAGCCGTTTCTAAAAATCAACATCGTTCGCGCATTTACGTTAAAATGGACGAAGGTAACTCTTATTTCGAGCGCGACGGTCTCTCTTATTTTGCGAAATCACGTTTATCTTCTTTTTCAAAACTTCATCTCGTGCATTATGTCAAAATGATAAATATCTGCGTCTGTTTACACGAAACAGCCCGGAGCCTAAAATTCAGCGCGCGATTTAATCCAACTGTTTTCCACATCGCCTTATTATCTTTGTTGCTATGCACGATATATGCGAGATATATTACGATAAAATTTAATGTACCGCGACTAAGGCCGCGGCTAGTCCGAGCAATTCGCATTTCAAGAGGCCATGCGTCTCGGTGGATGTTTGCACGCGTATACGCATCGAAGCGTTGCGAGTCGCTGCGAGAAAAAAAAATGGACAACGGCAGAGAAATTGATACGTGTGTGTAATGCGACTTGGCTCGCATTTAGAACACCGGACGTATCCTCCCGATATTTTGCATTTCCAATGAAAAGTTATGATGCGTTTTACATCACACAGGACATATTTCGCAAAATACATGGTGGTTGTGTTATCCCAGTAATTGGGTCGACGGTAAAGCGAAACGTCGCGCGATGTCGACAATACTTCAGTCTGTTCTTTCAATAAGTAGCATCTACAATTCTCGATAGTTCAACGATTTGTAGCCCCAGCTTAGACGATATAAAAATGCCCTGGTACGAGAGCTACAATACTCGCGTTCGAAACAGCCGCTGCGGGCGGAAACGAAATTACGCACCGTGAACGCGTCCGATCGATTGCCGGGAAAAACGAGTTTAGCCCGGCGGATTTCTCCTTCCTGTTTCGCAATGAATTTCCAAATCCAGAATCCTCACTGACGGCTGATCGTCAATCTGGCCGATCCTTCTAGATAGAGCGATGATCATCAGCGTCACATCGCGAGCGGTTCGATCGCGAACGGAGACGACGGATTAGTTCTGAGGTAGTAGGTACCGCTTGGTCTGAAGAGCGACTTGTGACCACCCATGATAGATGCGTGCGTATTGTTACATAAACCCGACTTAAATTTAGAGAAGCTGTCGCAGCTTCTCCCGAGGAATCCTACGTGACTAGTGATAGACTCGGCGAAGTACTGATACGAGCGACTGTGAGAACATGAGCCGCCAAGATCTACTCCACAGCCAACTTGCTTTTGACCACCGTTAGGATAGAAGTCAATATCTCCGATGGCTGTTAGGTAGCCAAGCAGACCACCGTTAGTATGAATGATCTCCACGTAACTCGCATCGTCTTTCGATATTCTGGATCCTGAACCTGATGACCAAAAGCCGGGCCAAGCTGGATCTAGTCCTGGAACGATAAATTCATGCCATGACAATGAATAATTATAATTAATTGATCGATTGAGATCAACATAATTAACTTTTATATTTAATGAAACGAGAAATGACAATGTTCGATTAACACTGAAAAAAAGTTTTTTTTCTATAAAAACGTAAAACTTTCTATGAAATAACGCATGCATATTGGATGCTTAATGCGTATCAAACATGAAAAATAAACGCATGTTTCTCAAAAATTTGATAAACCTCACAAAATGTTTCTGTAAAAAGTAATAATACATTAATATTAAAAATATACTATCACATTTTTCTACTATAAAAAGAAGGGAGAAATAAAATTCTTTTAATCATTTATATAATTTCTAATGAGACTCAATGACGTTTGATAAAAAGGGTGGCTTCTTGTCGCATACACAAATTTTTAACATTAATCAGAATATTAAATATAAAGATATAATATATTTTATGCAACGTCAAATATCGTTCTTAGTCGAATATGAAAGCTATTAAATATAAAATGTCATGAACTTACCTACGACGTAACCGATATCGCTGTTAGCGTTGTAAGCAGCGATTCCAACTACATGGGCACCAAGAGAGTGGCCGATCACTTTGGTTTCCCACGAATTCATTCCATATTTTACGAGAAAATCAATCATAGTGGCGACATATTGACCAACTACTAGGACACTCCTGCTAGCCGAAATATAGGACAAGTTACTTATTGCATTCCAGTCGATGATAATAACGTTGTAATCGCTGATCTGAAGATAAGCTATAACATAAGAAGTAACAGACATTAGTAATAATCTAAGAAAAGTAACGAAAAGGAAAAGGTAACGCTGCCTTGAGACTTAATCAATTTCTGTATAGAAAGAAATTAACGTTCTATATGTTGAATTTCTATAATAATTCTCTTAAGTTACGAAACACTAATAAATATTTATACATTAATGACAAATAATCAAATACCATTGCGAATTAAAATGCACGATTCGCCGTTGCCCGAACTCTTCCATCCGTGAGTTATAATACGCGTTGGTTTTGTAGGATCGAAGTTGCTGTTCTTAAGAGCATCTTCGTCGTCAACATAGAGCTGCTTCGATTTGATGAGAGTGTCTCTTTTGTACAGGTAAAAGAGGACACTTTTTGACAAATCGCTGTCATTTTTATATGCATTCTGCTCAACGTAGTCGTCTTCCAACGTCAGCTTCACCAGGTTCTTGTTGTCATCGTATACATACGCTACTTCATTTTTAAATAATGTATAATCCAATGAAGTAAAAATATCGTCAGGAAACACTTCTTCTTTCACTGGAAGCCCTGCACAATCAGAGATACAAGATACATCGTATAATAAATATACAAAATGGAAAAGGAAATATATAAGAGGAATATATCAAATGAAAATATTGTTACAATATAACGATTATCTTTCTATTCAAATTTTAAAAAGTTATACAAGTTAATGTGCGAATTTAGACTGCAATAAATTTGTCTTTTTACAGAAAAACATTTAAATATTTTTACCAGTTACAGTGCAAGCAAACAAGACACTAATTAGAACATGCATCTCCATGTTTAACATTATTCTATTATTAATACTGCACATTCAGCCGCTGACTTATAAAATGCCTTCTATCAATATATTTATATACAATTTTATGCCTGAGGTATCAATATACTTATTTATATAATTTTAGCGATAAGATAAATTTCTTTTGCAGTATCGCAACTATAATATTGATTATTCGATAATATCTGAGATATCAAATCACAACATGTGTGTGTGTGTGTGTGTGTGTATGTGTGTGTATGTGTGTGTATGTGTGTGTATGTGTGCGCGCGCGCGTATCGAAATTTTTGCATAAATTTATTGAAATCTAAATTTTTTTTATATTTTGTTAAAGTGTATGATAATTTTAATCTTTTATTTTTTAATCTTTAGAAATAAATGAATGATTTAATATTTTTTTTATTTATGCATAGTCATTTTTAATGAATTATTTTAACATATACAATATATCAATGATAAATAATAAGAACAAAACATAAAACGCAATTATATCATATAAATAACGCAATTCTAAATTTTATTGTGATTGAAAAGAAGAGGACTTTTACTCAAGCTTTTAAAAGCTTTATACACACAGAACAATACATACTATATATAACTTACTCGTTTCAAGTATTTTAAAAGTTCATAAATCCGCAAATTTATCATAAGTTTATTACAAGCATCCAATTTATTTAAAACATATCCTGATTCGCGTAATAAGTTTATAATTCGATCAAGATTATTAAATTAAAACAAATACGATTTGCTTATTATATAATGTAACTTCTTTGATAACATTTTGCTTATTATATAACTTTTTCGATAACATTTTGTGTAATATTTTTCAAAAGATAAAAAATTCTTGTTTTGAGTATATAATGAGAGTTTCTCTCTCTCTCTCTCTCTCTCTCTCTCTGTATCTATCTATCTATCTATCTCTATCTCTATCTCTATCTCTATCTCTCTCTAATAAATATACAATATTTTATTTTAGTATATTAAATATAAAATTTTATAATGGAGAAAGAGAGACAGAGAGAGAGAGAGAGAGAGAGAGAGAATATTCTTTGTTAAATATAATCGTTAAAAGAAAAAATTAAATTGAGTAATCATTTTCTTAGCAGTAGAATGATATTTTTTCTGTGTGTACTAATGATTTTTAAAAATAAATAGAAATAAATTGCGATCAAGCTCATATTGATGATTACAAACGCAATAAATTTCAAAGAATCCTAATAATAAAAAGAGCACAATAAACGAATTGGCAGAAAAAAACAATATATTATAAAAATAAGTAAAGAGGAAAAAGGGCTACGAGCCTAAAACATAAATAAAATTTTATGTTTTAGGCTCGTAGCCCTTTTTCCTCTTTACTTATTTTGATTTATTGAGCCTTATTATTTTTCTAATATATTATAAAATAAGACAATGTCTGTCGGGGCAAATCTTTAATGAAAGACCGATATAATATTGATAAGATGTCATTTATTTTTTTCAACGTTAATTATCTGATCCGCGTTTCGTCCAATTCTATTGCCATGTTGAGATTTACCATTTTTTTTTGTATCTAGTTTGTGCCATAAATCAATTTCCTGTGTCCTCACTGAGATTATTTGATATATTTAATCAGCGGATGTTATTGATTTGACAAGTACTGTTGTTAAGATCAAGAATGAAAGCCTAACGGGAATCCCACGTATAACGGAGATATTAATGGATATTTTATCGCACAGAAGAATTGTACACAAAACGCTAGAAATATGAAAATACAAATTAATACAGCGTAACAATTCGATAAATCATATAATTTAAATATAAAACGATTGGTCGGCTCGTGTATTCCGCACATTCCAATATCCCTTGAAAGAGTTTAATATTTTAAGGACATTATTATTCTCTATTATTATATTAATTACATCGAGTTAATATCGGGTTAATGATATAATTAAGCTATCAAGTAAATAGAGTTTTTATGCAATTCACGTTTTGATTGTAACCTCATTTTGGACAATCAATTATTTGTATATCAATTGCGTTATCCGCATTATCAATCATTCTTATAAAACATCAATAAGAGTTAATTATCCACATGTATTTGATTTTTAAATCGTGCCTCAAATTTCATATGATATAAATTGAACATATGTTTACGCGATAATATAAATATATGATACTGAAAAGAACAGATGTACATCAAAAAGTAATAATGCATTTTAATACTAAAGTACGACAAGAAACAGAGATAAGATTCAAGCAAGTAAGAAAAATATAATATGTCTCTTATTCTTATACACTCAATCTAATCTAATAAACGTTAGTTAACAAAGATCATTAATACATACAAAGGAAAAATAAGAGAAATATACTTAGAAATGGATATTAGATTGTTTTAAAAACGTCAGTGAATTGACAATGACATGACACTTTAATAAGAGATATTAAAGATAATAATAGTTTCTTCTTCATATATGTTGATTTGTTATATCAAAATGTTAGCAAATCGGTTCGAATTTGTAGTGCAGCTATATTGATGCTTATCTATGACATTTTGGAACACATTTTGCAATGTGCATAAATTTCAAATAGACATTGTTGACAAGTATCAATGTCAAACATTTCACAGAGAAGTTCGTGATAACGAACAATATCGGACGATCTGATTGATCGGTATTTCGCTCTATGTGAGACCTCGACTAGCAAGGTGGAAGTACGACGTGCGAGAAACGACTTACATGGACAACTAGGAAAATATGACCTCCTAAACGTGCGTGTTTTCCCACTGAGACATTTAATTTCCCCGTACTCGCGGGTTTTTATTCGTAATTGAGTCCTACGGCGCGGTCCCCGTCGCGTTTACGTAAATTTTAAAATATTCCAATTAGTATAATGAAATTAGTGCACTTATGAAAATTTCGCGGCATTAGCCGGGACGCGGGGAAAGACGATGTTAACGTGTCTATGAAAATTTTCATTTGCACATTGACGTGAGAGACTGTTAAGCGAGCGCGGAAGGATTAAGAGACGGAAACCTGTTGTGGCGTGTGTTCTTTTTAAAAGCCGCGGTGGGTTCTCGCCCTCGGCGGTTACATTTCTCAGACAGAATCAAACAGGTTCGCTTCGTACACAGCGCGCGGGATAAAAACCAGTTTTAACGACCCGCTTGAAATTTTTATTGTACACAGAGCGCGCTCAGCGGAATGCATTTGATACAAATACTTTCCGATCTGTAGCGGCTATCGCCTTTGTTCCGATGCGTTTACAGGTGTTGAATATTAAAATGAGATGGGTTTATCGGAAAAATCGGGACGCGATCGGCTTACATTTTCCCCGTAAACTTCTCGTTTAATTTCGCTTATTGCGTTATTTACAGACTGCTATAATTAACGGCAAATCAGCGATTAATAAATATCATTACAATTTTTATATACTTCGATGTGTATTTATATATTGGGATAGATATTTTTCTCAAAAATTAAAACAATAAAAAGGAAAAATTGATTGGCCATTTTTTTTTATTTTGAAGTTCTCTCGAAAATTGATTTTTTTTTTTCGTTACGTGAAAAAGAATAAAAAAGATTTTTTACACATTTTTCAGTAAGGCGTAGGTTACTATGCTGGAAGCGTGCAAAATTATGCTTAGATGACCGAAGACTCGACGTCCACGGTGCGGGCGCTTGCGTGAAGCTCGAAAATGAGGGGGACGACGGGGAGAAGCAAAGTGGGTGGTGGTCTGGGGGTGACGGGGGAATGGGGAGTTGGAGCTGTGAAAGCGAGGGCGCCTGCAGTGACTAGCCTCCATCGATTTACCGTGCGGCGCCATCTTGCCACCCTACGCCACGGGGGTTGACCACCCCTCTGCCACCCCTTTACCCCCCTTCCGCCGCCGCCCGTCGGGGTCACCCCCCTCGAGGCAGAGGCAGACATTTTGAAAAATGATTCCGAAAGTCATCGTGGCCCGCACTGGCGTTTTTTAGCGGGCTCGACCCGGCCGCCCGGTCTGCCCGACATCCCTCTCTTTTTCGCGCTTGGTCTTTCGCTTGGCATTCGAAGAGCAAGGGAAGAAAAAGCGGACGCGCGACAAAAAGAGGGAAAACTATCGCGGCAAAAGACGCGGAAATAAATGAGCGCGTAGCCGGAGTCTGCGTGTTCTGGTTATTAAGCCCTAAGTGATGAGATTTTCGCTACGCCGAGCACCAGCCATAACAAAACGCGCCAACTTTTTCATCACATCGAGTCGTAACGATCGTTCTTTTTTCACAAACAGCAACATTAATCATTTGCTACGTTTATCTGACATCTCATTTCTAAGAATTCATCGACGTGACAGAAATATTTTCTTAACGTAAAAACACATAATGTAATAATGATTCGTAAAAAGTAAAAATAATTAAAATAGTTTTATCGTTTGACTTTTTGTCGAAATATCGACGGTTAGAGAAAAGTCCTGTTACTTTAATCTCTAAGGGGCGATATTGTCGTTGCTCCGAGAATTTATTGCCGCTGTATAATGCTACGTCGAGCTATCTGTAATTATGTATACGAGTAGAGATCTATCTATGTTCAAATATTAAATGGTTGACTTTTTAGAATACTTATTTTCGAGGGACATTAATTTCCGTAACTGTAGCTGCTCATATAGGTTGATTCAGATTTTGCGTTCATTTATATATGTATAACCATCGATATTGGATTAAAATTACATCTTCCAAAGAATAGTTTTTTCTATTATTTTTCTTGCCAGTGAGTTACGTTAGTTAGTCTGGATGAAATTACGGAGAACTTAAGGAGATCCCAACGATTTACTGAAAGGACGTGATATTTAAAATGGACGGTTGCAGCCTGTGGCTGGACATTCCGGATCAAAAGAGACGAAGAACAAAGGTCGACAGGAGAGAAAGATTTCAATCGTGTCTACCAATCGCGCGATAAACAATACGGGGCTTTCGAGAATGTACGGTGCGGTCGATCGGCTCTCGATTAATCAGAAAAAATTCTTGTTTTCATGAAAAAAGATCACCATTCTAGACGATGGCGCAGAAACAAGGGACTCCGAAATCTCCTGAGAGTCGTAC